ATGATCACTAACCATGTATTTTTGAAGGTATCACCTATGACTGGTATTGGGAGGTTTATCTGAGTAAAGAAGTTAACTCCTAGATATATTGGTCTATTTGAAATTCTAGAGAGAATTGGGCTTTTGGCGTACTGGATTGCATTACCTCCACATTTATTAGGTGTACATGACGTGTTTTATGTCTCACAACTCAAGAAGTACCAATAAGATCTGTCCCATGTAATTAAACCAGAAGAAGTAGAGCTATGAGAGAATTTGACTTATCGGACTGAGTTAGAAAGATAAGCAGCTAATAAACAAAACCATTCGCCTAGTCAAGGTGATATGAAAGGGAATGACTCCTGGAGGTGCTACTTGAGAAATGAAGGAGAAAATGAGACAACAGTATCCCCATCTTTTTTGGTGAGGTAATATTTACTTGATATACTGAATTTTGAGGATAAAATTCTTAAAAGGAAGGGAGAGTTGTAACATCCGAGAAAAAATTAAGTGTTATTAGTTAAGCTAATGAGTATGATTAATGAGTTAATGAGGTGTGTAACTAGAGGGGCCTAATTATGTAATTTATTGTAACTTTAGCCCTAGAAGTGGGTCTGGATTGATGGTGGGCCACCAGGGTAAGGAAAGAGGAAGAAAAAGCAAGTGTTTGCCCTCTGTGCTAGATGTCGCGACGTGTAGTCAATTCACCACAGCACACATGGGCAAATTCAAATGTAACGGCTCCTCTGTGCCATGCACCATGACGCACAGTCAAAAATCTGACTTTATCAATTCGTTTCTGCATGAAAAATCAAAGAAGAGAAAGAAGAGAAATGCGAAGAGCTCAACTTGGGCTTTGCTAGGGCTTGTTGTTGGAGTATATTGGTGATAAATTGAAACTCCTAAACACTCAAAGTAAGTAATCCATGTCCTTTTCTTCCATTCTCTCCCTCATTTATGAAGATTTAAGTTAGGGTTGAAGTTGGAAAGTTTATTTTCAGTCCATAAGAGTATGTGTCCGATTCCATTGATTAAAATGGATATAATGGGAGTTATTTAAGGTATTGGAATATCACATTAATGATTGTTGAAATAGTTGGTTTATGGGAGTAATAAATATCCAAAAATCAACATAAATGAGGTAGTTGGGAGAGTTTTATATCCATTAATGGTGATTTAATGACTCATTAGTGGTAATGTATGAGTCATTGAAACCTAATGAACCTATTGGGTATGGTTGGGTAGTGATTTTTGGATTGATAAAATAGAGTGTGTGGATATTTTTGTTGGTAAATCCTTAAAAAAATGAAATAATGATGGTATTATAACCTCCTTGAGGTTAAACCACAAAATAACTCAAAATCATAGTTATCCGAGGTTTTGAAAGAAGAATTTCTCAAAAGTCATTTCATAAGAATCCCAATTTGCTATTTCAAATCCCATATATAAATTTAAAGACTCCAAATCAGAGTTTTTAAAAACAAAGCGGAAGCTTGGAAACCAATTGAAACCTAAAAAGTGAGTTTTAAAACTCAAAAACTATTTCTGTGCAGAAAATGACACGTGCGCCGCGGCTTATGGCTCATGCGTCATAGCATGTTTTCTTTATACCATGCGCTGCGGTGCATTACATGAAATTTGACAGATCAGTGCTGTCATTTGACAGCACAGGAAACAAACTGCTGACACGTCTTCCAACACGTCCTAAATCTCCATCTAACGTTTGATTGAGGTGGTTTCAATGTTTACATAGAGCTTTCTCCTAGCTCTAGCTAATAGCACCAGTTTTACACTCAAATTCATTTTCTATCAAAAGTTAGACGCTAAAACCTATTTCGACACATTTTCACAAAATTTCTCAAATAAGGTGTCCAATTTAACCACACGTGCCAATAGCCTACACCAACCCTCCGACCACACTCAATGGACTCTTGCGGAATCGTGCAACACACCACGCACAACTAAAAATACTTATTTCACAAAATTACCACTCAACCCTAATTTTCACAAAGCATATAAGGGGAGGAAAAGTTGTAGAAAATCAACCATTTCATTTATATTTCTTAAAACTACATATGTTCCTACTTACACAAGTATTTTGGCCCTATCCTCGGATTCATAACAAAAACTCATTAACCGAGGACAAAATATACTAGTTAAACATAAAATTGTACAAGTAGTACACCATTCATGACAATTAATCCTAGTTGGCAATTACATTAGCAAATACACATGACAATAACTAAAGAGAGACATAAAGAGGATTTACTCCATAAATCTTAAGCCTCTGTATGTTTTTCCTAACTTGGATCCGATGAGCTAGTCCCTGAAAGTATTGAGAATTGAGGGATGAGTACAACCACTCAGTAACCAAGTTTTACTTAACCCTTACAATTATATATTAATTGTAAATAGATGAAAATAGGCACATAAACATATATTTCATATAGCATTAGGCCACGATTCACAAAACTAACAACTATGTGACCGAGCTTATCACAAAATACTATATCAGATTGTTTTCAAAACATAACTTAGGGTCATAAAAATAACAACTATGCGCACTTAACACGTGTCGGACCACAAAACTAACAACCATGTGGTCAGACTTATATACATGATCATATGCCAACCTTATATCGTCATGTTACATCTGACACAAAACTGGTAGCTGTCATGTGGCTACATCCTTCACGAACTAACACAGCCTTTTACTTGTGAGGAGTTACCGGGCCAGGGTTAACTCACTCACTTATATAATTCGATTTCTCCCAATACTAACAACTATAGGGTGTCGTACCTCTAATCTAGTCTCTTCATGAATCAGTAAAGACTAGTTAGGTTTGAGTTCCTTGTAGAATAAATGGGATAGTCCTGAATCAATCATGGGACAAGGGCTACCTCCTGATTCGAACGGTCGGTGCTAAGGCTAGTTCCCAATTCTAACAGTCATTGCCAATACCACTTGGATTTCAACCAATCTACTCCTCTCCTTAGGCAACCTCCCGCTAATAATCATGCTATACATATTTCACACATAATATGCATTTTAAGAATCATTTCTCAACACATACACTTACGTAACATAAATACATCACAATTTAACACTTAATTCATCACAATTCTCCACCTATAGTAATAAATCACAGGTAATTTCACAAAACATCAAGGGTGGTAGAATCAAAGTTTTCTCTTCTCTAAAACCATTTCACAATTAAGTATTTTCTAATATGCATCTCATAAATCACATTTCATAAATACAATTAACATTCAACTATAAAAATTAAGTTTTTCCCAGTTACCTTAAACCTTTGAGAGGTCAAAGGTTTACCCCTTACTATGTTAACTTTCCCAAGCATCAACGAACTTGAACGGTGCCAAGACGAACCTCTCTATAATCATATCATAAGTATATCATTATCATCTAGCTCTTTAAGCTTTATCAATATAAAACTCCTCATACACTATTTTACCAACTCATAACCACTACCCGTTCATACCCAATGTGCTCATTAGATTTCATTAATGCACATTATCATTAATAACACCTCAAACTATCATTAATGCACATTAAACTCTCCCAACCACCTTATAAGTACCAAGTTTTAGATATTAAATGCTCCCATGGACCAACCACTTCCAAAATCATCAATGTGATATTCCAATACATTAAATCACTCTTATTAACCTCATTTTAACTAATGAAATCAGACCCATACTCTTATGGACTAAAAATCCATCTCCCAACTTAAATCCTACCATAAATAATTATAAATGAGGGAGAGAAAGGAAGAAGAAGGCACTATGATCTTACCTTGGGTGTTTGGGAGCTCCAATCTATCAACAATAGGACCAAAATTTGTGCCCTAACAGAGCCAAAATTAAGCTTTTTGTTTTCCTTCTCTTTCTCTCTTCTATTTTCAAGCAAAGACGAATCAGATATATCTGATTTTTGGCCATACACCACAACGCACGCTGTCCTCCACCACGGTGTATGGCACAGAGGAGCTCGTTATGTTTAAATTGTGTCCGTGAGCCATGACGGACCAACCACACACCGCGATGTGTGACACAAAACACAACTCTTTACTTTTTTATCCTCTTTCCTTACCCAGGTGGCCCGCCATCAATCCGGATCTACTTCTAGGGTTAAAATCACAGTAATTATGCCAAGTTAAACCCTCTGGCCACACACCTCATTAACTCACTAACTACCTTAATTAAGTTAATAAAATTAGGGTTAAATTTTTTTGGATGTTACAAGTATTATTGTGTTATAAGTGTAATGTGGTTTATTTTGGCACCATTTAAGCTTGGGAGAAGCTTTAGAAGTGGTTTGTGTGAGAGGTAAACCTTTGACCTCTTAAAGGTTTGAGGTAACTGAGGAAAATTTAATTTTTATAGTTAAATGTTAATTGTGTTTGTGAAATATTGTCGATGATTTAAATTAATTATGTATATTGGCAATGTATTTAACTTGTGAAATGGTTTTGGAAAGGAAAACCTTGATTATGGTTTTTCATTATGGGTGGAGAACTTTGATGTGTAATGTATTGAGTATGTGGAGTATTTGAATATGAGTATGTGAGTTTATGTGCCATGAATTGATTGTTTGAAATGCATATTATGTGAAAAATGAGCATAGCATGATCATTGGCGAGAGTTCGCTTAGGGAGAGGAATAGATTGATTTAAATCCACATGGTATTGGTAGTGATTGTTGGAATCGAGAACTTATGTAACATCCTAAAAAATTTTAAAACTCAAATTTATTTAAAAAATAAACAAAAAAATAAAATAAAATATCTATAATTAAATTAAGATTTAGAATAATTTAATAGAGGCCCAGAGTTCGAATTTTACTAAGCAAAAGTTTGGTTTTATTTGATTTTTAACTATGGAAAAAATTACCAAAGTTGACCCAGGCTTTTGTGCAATAATAAAAAATGTTGGGCCCTTTCTTGTAATTTTCCCCAAAGTTTTTGACCAGCATTTTAAGGAGCAAACTGATGCAGAAACGCAGAGAAAATGAGAAAGGAAGCAAACGCACAAACGGGAGAGAGAGAGAGAGAGGAAGAAGAGAAGAGAAAGGGAGGGAGTTAGGCTTGGATCTAGGAGTCTTTGCGACCGTTGCGAGCTCGGCTACACGATAGGTAAACTCCCTACTTCAATCCTCTTCTCTTTCTCTTGATTTTCTTCAATTTTTGGAAGAGGAAATTTTTGGATTTTGATCCCAAAGGCTTTATTCTTGTAAGCTTTTGTTTCTTTGGATTCTAGGGAGCATGTTTTGAGTTTCTATATAGTGATCTAATGTTTTGAGTGAATAATTGGATGAAAAGAGGTGTTTTGGGCATAAAATAAACTTGAGAAATTGGGTTTTTGCTCCTCAATGGTTTAAGCCTATTGATTTAGTTATAATTTTGCTATTTAAGCCCAATAAGATTTAAATTAAGGTTTGGTTTTCATTATAAGGGTTAATGGTGAAAGTTGGTGGCACTAAGTAAAGGTTTTTAATTGATTAAAAAAATTATATAAATTGAAAATTAGCCTAGTGATGGCTAATAAATGGTTTTGGTGGTTAAGTGATACTATGTGAATGGTTGGTTTAATATATGGACCATTAGGGTGGATTATGACTCATTGACCTAAGTTGTGTGGTATAAGTTATAGTCTTCATTAATACTATTTGTCATGATAAGTGATGTGGATCACTTATATGTTGTAGAAAATTGTTGGTGGAACTTATTGAGAAGTAAGGAACAAGCCGAGCCCTATTTTGTACAAGGGGAACCCTTTTAGTACCAAAGGGTTGAGGTAACAGGGGAATTTATATTTCTTATTACTTTGTTTTAGCTATTTTTGAATAAATATTACTAGTTATCATGCATTACATGTTTTAAAAGATTAAATGTGCTTTATAAAGGGTTATGGGGTACTACTTTGATTATAGTGCAAATATGTTTTCTAATTGTTTAATAACAATGTTTTTATGGAAATGAGATTTATAAATATTATACTACTTTAGAGTGTTGAATGGTCAATACTCAGGAAAGGTAGACAAAAGTAAAAGGCATGATCTCGGTGGGAGTTCACCAATGAGAAGGTGTGGATTTTTGATATTCTATGGCACACTGTCAGTACTCAGTGTTGTCTTACGTATTGTGGGCTCAGTGCACTAAAGTGGTTAGTGTATTGAGTGTTCGACACCTCTCAGTGGGGGAGGGAATCCGACATATGAAGTGTGAGGTTGAGTGCCTAGGCCAAGGTAGCCCTCACATGGAGAGTAAGTCGGGCTGGCTCTGGGAGGGAGTTAGCTTTGACTGCTCAGGATTCACGTCGAAGGGGCATAGGCGGTTCGGTGGATTAGATCATGCCTTAGATTATGTTTTGTGCCTGTGGAGGTACAAGTAGGTATAAGGTTTACCTGCGAGTTAAAGAGTGCCAGGGGGCATTCTGTTGGTCATGAAAGGCCATACCGGCCTAGGTCATGCATTCATGCATTTTAAATGGCTAAATTATATACTATGTTGAATTTATTATTAATTTATTTAATTATGGCTTACTTTGTAATAATCAATATAGATTTCACTGTTACTGAGACTGTGGTTGTCTCACCCCTTTCTTTTTAATATTCTAGGTCCAGGCGAAGGATCCAGTGGTGGACGGGGAAAAGAGCAAAGCTAGGGGTTTGCTTGTGATTTGTAAAGAACTGCAACCCCTTTCTTTTGAGCAAATATATTGTAATGTATTTAAAATTAGGGTGCCAGTAGGATATGATTATGTGTGTGTGTGTGAATATGTGTGGATTGTGTGCTTGTGTATGAATTTTTGTCTGTTTGCAGACTTGTGGCTAGGAAACTTGGTTATGGTGTGTGGTTTTGATGGATTTACTTAGTAGACCAAGTTTCTATTACAAGCAGATCTTTATTTTGATATATATGTGATTTTATAAACAAATGCAAAGTGGTTGCATTGCAAATGGTGTGCTATGGGAAAACATACAGCTTGGATAGAGAGAGTGGGTGCGTGGGCCCCACAAGGAGCTCTGAGCCAAGTGAAAATGTTTAGCATATGTATTTATATAAATACATGGTATTTGGATTGATTTGTGACCACTCTTGTATGATTTGTGCATTTTGGGGGTTTAGGGTCCATTTTAGGAAATGGCACCCGGGTGGTCAAATTTTGATGTATGGGGGTTTTCCATCATTTGAATGTTCTATCAAGTGTTTTTAATCTTATTTGACGTGTCCAAAGTGTTTCCACAGGTTTGTGACCATTAGGATGGGATTTGGACAATTTTGAAAATGGTTTTTACCAAAAAGCTGCACTTTTGCATCCGGGTGTCCAAATCTTAATCCGACCGTTGGATTTCTCTAAAATTTGGGTCACAAGTAAAACCTTTTATAAGCTTCGTGTGGGCTTTAGAATCACGTCGATCGGATATCGGACGGAGAAACGAAGCACTCCAGAATTTGGTCTGGAGGTGCTGTCATAACAGCATTAAATTGCTGTCATGACAGCTACAGTGTTGATTTTGTAACCTGCACAAAATTCAATCCGTCCGTTGGATCTTTTCAAAATTTAGTATGCTAATAGTATTCTTTAAAAGTGACATGTGGGCTTTGGAATCACTCCGATCGGAGGTCAGATGATGAAATGGTGCACTCCGGAAGTTGGTCCGGAAGTGCTGTCATGACAGCTTTTTAGCTGTCATGACAGCAAAAATAGTCAATCTTTTAACGTGTCTAATTTTTAATCCGACCGTTGGATCTTTTTGAAATTTGGTACACTTATAGTACCCTTTGAATGTGACGTGTGAGCTTTAAAATCACTTCAATCGGAGGTCGAATGACGGAACACCGCCTCCTGGAAGTTGGCCCAGGAGGGCTGTCATGACAGCAATAAATTACTGTCATGACAGCATCTTTTTATTTCATTTTCGTCTAACTTGCTTCCGTGCGCTATAGGTAGAACCTATAATTATTTTTAAGGTTTTAAATGATTTATTTCTTAAGTTGGTTAGAGGATCAACTACTTAACCACACTTAGTTTGTTTGAATTATGTGATTTTTGGATAACACTCAAGGCAAGTGTTACAACTTACGTTGATTTAGGACAGTCTCACTTGTTTCATAAGGGACTAGAACCTAATTAATTTCTACCAATTCATGAAGAGGCTAAATTAGGGGTACGACACCCCATGATTATTAGTATTAGGAGAAATTAAATTATATAAGTGAGTGAGTTAACTCTAGCGTGATAGCTCCTCACAAGTAGAAGGTTGGGTTAGTTCGTGAAGGACTTAGTCACATGATAGCCACCGATTTCATGTTGGAGGTAACAAAAGGGTATAAGGTTGGCATATGATCATGCATATAAATCCGACCACATGGTTGTTTGTATTATGGTTCGGCATGTGTTTGAGGTGCATGGTTGGTATTATTGTGACCTTATGATTTGCATTTTAAATCAACATGAATATATGTGTTTTTAGGCTTGGTCACATGATTGTCAGTATTGTGAACCGTTCATCGTACGTGCCATAATTGTGTATTCTTGCCTATTTGCATTTGGTTATAATTGATATGCAACTGTATAGATTAAGTGAAACTTAGTTACTGAGTAGTTGTACTCACCCCTCAATTCTCAATATTTTCAAGGCCTAGCTCATCGGATCCGAGTCGAGAAAAAGACATAGAGGCTTAAGATTGTGGAGTAATCCTTTATGTATATCTCTCTTTGTTGTTTTTATGTGTATATGTTAATGCAATTGCCAATTAGGATCACTTGTCATTATTTTGCACTACTTGCATTAGCTTACTATATAACTTATGTATTTTATGCCCTGAGTTTTGCTTGGAAACTTATGGATATGGTCAAAATACTTGTGCAAATAGAAAACATGTGTATTTTGAAAGACTTGGAATGAAAATGATGATTTTGTGCAAGAATTTCCTCCCCCTTGTGTTTTGTGAATTTTGGGGTTGAGTGGTGATTTCAAGATATATGTGTTTTTGATTGTGTGTAATGCATTGCATGAGTTTGTTAGAGTCTATTGAGTATGATTGAATAGTCGGTATAGGCTTTTGGCACTTATAGTTGAGTTGGGACACTAAAGTGGTGAGATTTTTGTGAAAACTGGTACAAATAGGTGTATCTAACTTTTTATAGAAAAAGAATTTGAATGTGAAACCATGCCATTAGTTGGAGCTAGGAGAAAGCTCCGTGTAGACATCAAAACCACCTCAATTGAATATTGGATGGAGATTTGGGACGTGTCAGAAGTTTACTTCTTGTTCTATTAAATAACAACAACTAATACTATCATTTTTATGTAATGTGCCACAGCGCATGGCACAAAGAAGGTGAGCTGCAGTGCATATGTCTTATGCCACCACATACGTCACATTTTTTATATAAAATACTGTTTTAAGTTTTAAGACTTATTGTTTTGGGTCCAAGTTGGTTTTCAAGCTTTTGCACTATTTTCAAACTCTAATGTCAGCATTTTAAATACTTGTTTGAAATTAAAATTTAAATTTTGGGGATCTCATTGCAAATGATTTGAGAATTGTTCACTTTTATAATTTTACAACTTTGATAATCCTTTGAGAGTTAATCCCTTGATTACCTTAATTTATGGAGTTAAATGTAGTTTAGTAAGGGAGAACTTACAACAAGCATGTGGAAAAAAGCATGAGGAACAGACTCTATCAAATGCACTTTAAAGATTAACAGAAGATAATGAAAAAAATGATCAGCTCGGAGACTCATAGTGCATATCATAGTGAAAAAGAAATGACGAAAAAAGAAAGCTAGAAGATAATGAAAAAGGAACCACACTCATAGTGCAAATCGAAGATGAACAAATCAAAGGAGAAGGAGACAAACAAGGTGGTGGACAAAGACTAGATCAAAGATTGGGTGAGTAGATCAAGGCAATGCTGACCTTCTTTAATTATGGCTAAAGCTTACTGCCACTGGCTGTAGATTGGAGATGGCAAATGGCAACCAGGTCGATAGTAGAAGAGGACGAATCAAGAGGAGATAGAGCACACAACAAAGAGAGCACACCGAAGATTGTTGTTGTTGGCTATGGTCGGAGATGGTGGATGGTGGATGGTGAGAAGCTCGATAGTGGGAGGACAACGGCAGAGGAGAGATTCAAGATGGTAAGAGATGGGAGACTGAGAAACAACTCTGAAGACGTAAATAGAGAGGGTAATATTGGCAGTGGAATTCTTTGATAGCTTATTTATTATTTTAATGGTAAAATTAATTTAGATAAGTTGGCAGAACTCAAAATGTGATTTTTACCTTAATAATTAATTATCCAATTTATATGTTTTTTGGATAACTTTCATGCAAAAATCAATTTTGCCTTAAAAAATTGATTCTGAGCCCTATCCAAACAGGTTGTACCTCATCTAAATCATAATGTAAATCATTGTTAATTAATTTATATTTTTAAAAAAATTGGTTAAAATTTTGATTTTTCAAAAAATTTTATATCTTTTCAATCATATTTGTGTTGAGTATAATAAATATAATATTTGATCTATTCACGTTCATAATACTATCATTAATTACTCAATAAAGTAAAGGTGTGTTTCGTAAAAATATATAACACCTACACAGTATCCTATATTTTGGACTATGCAAAATTTCTAAAAAAATGATTATATTGTGATTATGAAGGAGTATGTGAAATAAATAGACATTTTATTATAAATAAATGGACTTTGAATGCTATTTTTGAAGTTTTTATTGTAAGTTTTATCTAAGTAATTTGTAAATTTCTCCTTCTTCAACAAGTATAAACAATGTGGATTATGGAAAATGAATAGCCATTTTTGTTGTTAATAAATGAATTTTGAATGTTATTTACTAAGTTTCTATTATAAATATCATCTGAATAATTTGTGATTTTTTTTCTCCAAGTATAAACCACATGAATTATGTAAAATAAATGAATGTTTTGTTATCAATAAATGGAGTTTAAATGTTATTTACAGATATTTTGTTATGTATTTCATAAAAAGACAATTTTGTTTTTTCACAACAAAAATTTAATTACAACTAGGCCTTTAAACCTATAAAATTATTTTAGATTTTATTAGACTTTTGATGTACATATGTTGATTCTAGAACCTGCAGTACAATTCTCCCTTTTTTTCTTGCCTCTAAGAATGGGTCGATGACATCCAATGACCCAAAAATAAGTTTATTTAGTTAGATAATATATTAATAAAAAAACTTATATACTTGTTCATATGTTTAAGATGATTGCTTTCAATTAAATTAAGATATTTTATATATAATTTACTCTATGACAAATTTTTATTGTTAATGTTATTAAAACATTGAAATTCACTTATCTTGCTATGATTAAATTGGATAAAGGTATACTTCCTCTATTAAAAAATATAAAACATTTTTTGAGAGGTCGAACGTTCAAAAATATAAGACATTTTTAATCTTTCAAGGTATAATAATTGACTTTTTTTAAAAAAAAATTCTATTAAATAAATCACTTTATATTTATTTTAAGGTGAAATAATATATTAAATAGAGGTAGATATGAAAAAATAAGATTAATTTCAATACAAATGACTGCTTTATTGAGAGTAAAATTCAATTAAAAATATCTTATATTTTTAAATGGAGGACTATTAAATATGTAAGGTTAAGTATTTAATTCTTTCTCATATACTTTTATCTAATTAAATTAAGATAAAATGATAATAGATAAGAAAATTTACTTAAAAAATGACACAATATCAATTGGAAATAAAAAAAATTCTAGTGAGAAATCATGAGAGCTCAATTAAAATTACTATTATTATTCTCATAAAATTCTGAAGTGTCATTTTTTTAAAAAAAATTAATATTGACATTCCCTCACTTATTTGAGTGCACTCATTTCAGCTTTATTGTCGTGAGTTGTGACTTACATAATAAACCCATGTATTAAAAAAAAAATAATTCTCCAATTGAGCTTAATATCTAAAGCAAGATCTCAGATTGAGCATTGTGAGTAGAATAAATTATCCTAGGAGAACTTTTCCCCAATCAAGACCCAGTTCAACTCTTATTTTAGTTAGCTAATACTGACTTATAGCAAAAAGTTGGCCAAAAAAAAAATTGTTTTTATTGAAAATTTTTTGCAAGTATATGAGCCAACTAAGATGATCTCACAGAGGCAGTGGATTGATTTCACAATAATTATTACCACCTTAAATGTAACCTGACAAGCAAACGACAATAAAATTGTACTGGAAATTAAAGATAGAATTTCTTTTCCCAATAAATTGATGGAATTAATGACAGAGCAGCCCAACAGATGAAATTTACAGAAGTTCTTGCGTTCGCGAAGCTCAAAAAAATACTTAGCTGGACTAGCGGTAGTCTAGCTCAATAAAGGAATCCAAAGAAATTTGGATCACTGACTAGTCCCCTCGAACAAAAAGAGGTCATCAAAGAAACCTCAGAAGATCAAAGAAGCAACTTTCAGGCTTCAGCAAAGATTCATCACTAACTCATTCATCCGCCAAAGCCAATCGTTGCTAAAACAGTTTCTCAATTTTTTTTCAGTTCTATTTTCTTCTGCCTCCTCTTAGCCTCCAAGAGCGAAGAAAGTTGAGCACACTTCCCTTGAGCTTCCTCCAACTCCTTTTCCAAGTTCTCAACCTTTTTCATGTTAACAACAGAAGCATGAGTGAAACACAATGATTTATCCAAACTTTCTGATCAAATTACTCTTACCATCTGTTTCAGCTCAGTCTCCTTACGCATGTGTTCCTCACACCTGCAGACAAGGGTCCTGGTGAGTAACAGCAAAATATGCAAACAAGATCCTAGGTGTACCTCAATTCAGCGGTCACTGTGTCTTGGTATTCCTAGGAAAAGGGAAGGAGGGGGGGGGGCGCAAGGGTACCAAACAGATGGAAGTAGAAATTGTTACGACAGCACAAATATTGGCCTGCATACATTTTGATTAAACATTTACCTCCAGAAAAGTCTCAAGTTCTCATCACGGATCTGATCAACAGATTGGGACCCTGGAGCTCCTACTACCTGTTGGAGAAACCAAGAAAGAGAATACTAAGAAACAGCTTTTTGGTGGGTAATAGCATATATAAAATGAAAACACTTGCATTCCTTTGTTGGAGTGGCCGAAATTGTCAAATTAATTATCAACAGGGAAATTACTAGTTACCTTTTATAAGGCCTTAATAAAAGAACAACCCACCCGGGGTTACATAGAACAAAAGATGCTTGTAGACAAGCACAAAGTATTAATTACAGCCTGCATGCAAATGCACGACAACAACCTATAATATGGTTTTTACATGGTAATTCACATTCAGTTTATGCAGAAGCCATCATTTATAAGATTCTACACAAATATCACTGGGTTTGTACATATTGACTGACTGGTCTTAGCTACAAAGAGTCACATGCATCATTCTGCTCTATGCACAGGACGTCCATGTAAAAGAAGGATAGAAAATCACCAAGGAGACACTGCACGCTTTTCAAGCATAATTGACTCTTTCAAATATGTGTACAATCCCAGAACAAAAAAGATTACACAAATGCCCTGACAGTTACAGCTGAATCAAATTAATCAACTTACTATGGATAAAATCTTCACGCAAACTAACTCTTGGTTACGGAACAGAAATGGGTAAGGAGAAGTAGCAAATACAGGAGGAGAATAGACTGCGTGCATTGCTTTTTACAATGCAGGAAAGAAGAGAACTCCACTTTGCCTCACGTAACATACCAAAGAAATTTGCTGTTTCTGATCACTATTGTGCCTTCAAGAAGTGGCTGGTAAGCCAAACTTCTCCACGCCAAATAAAATGAAGAAAAAATGAGGGGCAAAAAAAAAAAATATTGTTTGGGCTAAAGAATATTTTTGCACCTCAATTATTCACTCAAGAGTACTTAGTATTTTAAACTTTCATTAGGTGCAATTTTTTCCTTCAACTTTTGAAAATTATGCATTTAATACCCTACCATTAAAAAATTTAACTTCAACTGCTAGTTGAATGAAAAAATTACAAAAAAAAACTACCAAAAAATCACAGAAAATGATCTATAAAATTGCAAATAAATACTTTATAAGAAAATTAATATCAATTAAGTTCCTAAAATAATAGTTGCTCAAAATCATATTTTGACCTTTCACATGGTTAAGAAATAACATTGGTATCTTATTATTTATATATAATTTAGGTGATTCAATTGATATTAATTTTTTTATAAGGAACTTATGTGTAATTTTATGGGTCATTTTCTCTACATTTTGAGGTCCTTTCCTATAATTTTAAAATCAACTAACGGTCAAAGTTGACTTTTTTAACAGTGCTCAATGCATCATTTTCAAAAATTAAAAGAGAAAATTGCACCACATGAAAGTTTGAGATACTATGTACTCCTAAGCGAATAGTTGAGAAGAAAAAATGTACGTTAACCCATATTGTTTAATAGTTTGCTCATTTGAATAATCTGAATTGCGTATTGTGAAAGGTCATGCAATTAAATTTTTATATGATCAATTACTTGGAATGAAAAAGCTACAGGGCCACTGTTTTATACAAAGCCATGCATCTATAGGAATAGGAGCAAATAAAAACAATTACAGAATGGTCCAATTAGTTGCCTGTTCCATTGAATACACGTATCAAAACCAAATGCGTTCTCCTGAAGCGCTCTGCCATCCAATGCAACCTTAAATTAGTTAGACTTTAATTTTATATATTTTACGCCTTTAAAGTTCCCTCCCTTCGACATTTCTTGATGTTATATATTCACGAGTTCTGATAACTGACCCAGACTACTTTGAAGTCTGAAGCATCATCAACGTCTCTTGTGGGTCTCACAGTAGTATGCATCTACTCGAGTCAAAGTTAGTTATAAGATTAAAAAAACATACATGAGATAATAGTTTAAGAACAATGTATTTGATTACGCATGAAGAAAAAGTAATTCGGCTGCACATCAAACAAAGATTTAGTATATTACTTCAGCTACTTACATGCTGCTCCTGCAAGTACTGCACATTTGCTGGAAGACCTGCAATTGACTGATCTAAACTAGAATCTTCTTGATGCTCTGCCATACCAATAGCTCGTTGAACAGCAAGCGACTCATCTTGAGATTTACTTAAATGTCCAGTTGAATGTTGGACTTCGCTTCCATGTGGCACATTACGTGACTTGAAATTTGGTGGTTGATAGCCAACCAAGTGACAATGACTTTTCCTGCCAAACAAATTTCACCAAAACAATGTCAACATCTTATAATATTGAAAAGATTGATATTCAGGATAAGACCATCCAATTAACAATGGAGCATTAATTGATGGCACTGACGTGTAGATAACTTTTATGCATTGCAAAGATTATACAGCATCATACTGCCAGAAACCAATGCTTCCACTAATATACATTAATTCTATAATTTTCATGCAGGTAAATTTTATGTCCATTTATGCTTGAAATTTGATAATATAGAAGAAATCCCGGCAGACCTAAGGTGTAGAGATATGGATCTAAAATGGTAAACATAATAACATCGTCTGCCAACTTGTTCCACTACATTCTTTTAATGATTTGAACACCTTTGATGGGGCTTTGCCATAGAGTTAAGTAGCTACCACCATTAAAGTCAATTAGAGTACAACTTCCAGGCTCCAGCTGCAATTTAAGGATCCGGAAAATTTTGTAAATTGAACTGAGAATAGCTCCAAGAACATCAATATATCAATATACACTAAAAAGTTGCAGTAGGCCAAACACTTCCGCTTCACTTGCGTATAGTTACCATTTGGGGTTTTGTGCCATTACTTCAATTTTCACCTTTTTCATAATTCAGATATATTTACTGAAAGTCAAATATCCCCGTGCAACATACAGGAGAAAAAATCTGCCTATGAGAAAATTAACACCAAAAGCATCCATTTAAATCAGTCTGATTAGAATAGGTGCAACAACCCAAAAAGTTAAGTAGCCAGTGCATGAATAGTTGTGAAGACACAAATGGTTGGAGAGTGGTAAAAATGAACTAAGAAACTGCTGGGGAAACAAAAAGGACAAGCAAGTTAAATGAGGCATTCCACAAAATATGAACACCAGGCCATGCTCCAGAGGGAAGGCAGTATGGTTACCAGGAAGAGAGAAAAATTATTCAACAAAAAATATAAATCATAGCACAACAAACCAGTATTCCATTGTCATTTGTTTCAGCCTGGATTCCAGCCTAATGAACAGCAATGATCTCTCAAAATCCTGCTTGTCATGGGCTGGTTCTACAAAATTCACTTCAAGAACTCCTACAATGCACCGACAAATCAATAAAAAACAATTTGGAATAGGAATTTGCCAAAGAAACATAACAGTTCAAAAGAATAGGAACATACCTACAACACCGTTCCCTTTAGATGAACCATCTCCTGTTACTTTCCAAAAAGGCTGTAATAACCAAAGTAGATTGAGATATTTTGACTAAAAAAATCAGAAGTTACATTTACTTCAAAATTTTTTAATTAATTCAATTGATTTGATGACTAAAATTGAATGAATGCGCCATGTCCAACACCACATTTCAATTTTCAAAATAATATGCATTGTGAGAGAAAGAAAAGATATGAAAAATGAAAAGACTTGTAATGGCAGTAGGAGTACCTAGTGAGATAAGGCAGTTTAAGCAACCAGAATATACCTTGATCAGGCGATTTTTATGGTACACATTAAATCCAGAAACATTAAGAGAGGGAGCTTCCTTTACAAAACCAATGGTTGTCATCACTGTAACCTAAAGCAGAGCAAAGTCATTATTTTAAAATCTCAACTGTTGTATCGTTGATGAGATAAAAAGTTAAATAACGGAACAACAAACTATATACTTAAATAAGTGCGAGAATACAATGATCAAAGGAGTATATGCATCTCATGGAATTTGGAAAGATCAGAAAGCTCCAGTAAAGTATCTAGAAAAATATATCTTTTGATTTTTATTTTTTTTTTAAAGACCTCCACATACACACATGATAACAACCCCTTAAGCAGCAAAGACTGGAAAAAAATTGGAAAGTCATGAATGCATGATGATGCTATTATTTTAATATAAAACGTAAACAATTTCACAGCACATAAAGTCCTATGCAACTGGTGACTGTATAATCTATTAGGTCATAATTTCCAAAGAAGCCTTTCAAGAAAAATTCGGTAAACAAATATCAATAAATCTGGGAATAAAATCAAAATAGTGCCCACCCCTCCTGCATAAATCGTTCGTTCCAATCTTTTTCATCACTTTTTCCATTTTTGAAAGGGGAAAAAAAGGGTGGATAAGTACATTTTACATTTGATTCCCTATTGTATAGTAGAAAATTGAGTAAACCACTTGACAAGAAATTGGAAACCCTGCAAAGAGCTGCTAATCAATTCTTCATTTCGCAAGTTTTACAACTCAAGCACAATCAGAATTTCATTTGTCTATGAATCCATTTTCCATCCATCAGAAATAAATAGCAATGTCCTGGGTAGTGCCATATAAATTGTTTTAAGTCAAAAGTTGTATTCAAGCCCCCGTATAATGAATCTTGCCTCCTTTGATGCCATGCCAAGCTGGGGCTTATATGTAACTACTTGTGAATGTTTCAGCTCCTCTACAATGTCAAACTGTTCCACGGGTTGTCCCCTTAATATGATTTTGAAGTTGGGAAATTTTCTGAGGTACAGCATTGAAGCATAAGCCTGCAGCAATAAAAGGGTCATTAAGACTAAAAATGATGGCACTCATAATAGTTGAGAGTGGAATTATAAATTAATACCCTTAATGAATAATGGAACAGATAAGAAATATGTGACTGAAGCTGAACAGCTTTTTTGTTCAACTTTTTCACATCCCCACGATTTACTTCATCTCTCAGCCTGATATCCTATGCAAAAGGACAGAGAAACATAACTGCTTCGAGAATCAGTCAATATATAAGTAGCTCCTTCAGCATACACATCCTGATATATATACAAAACTGATGCACTGGCACAATATCTTTGTCAATAGTAACTGAGCTATCAGCAAACTGAATGTGCTACAACTCTAAACAACTCATATGATATTAAAGGAAAAGATAATGGACTTAAAGCAATTGGGAGAATTTTTGCCCAGAAAAAAAAAAGCAATTGCGAGAATTTATTAAAGCAATCAATTACTGCAATTTGTAACTAGTTTCAACCAGTCTCAAAACAATACACCTGGATCAAATCCAGAAAACCTGGCCCAAAAATATCAAATCTAAGTAACATCATATGGGTTGCTAACACACAGCTGACGCATATTTCCTTCATAGCTACTTGTAGTTTTGTGATCACACCCAGAAAGAGGGCTTCAATTATTCTGCCTGGATCGTCTATTTTATTCATTGACACTTGAGTACATTAAATAGAAAAGCCTATCTAGGAGATATATCAACTAAACAAGGTAGCCTCGTACTAGAATCCAGGAACAACTTATTTAAATGATAAAACCACAATCCAAACAGATAAAAAAAAACAAATATCATATCTGCATACATACATGGTTAGCAATGTAACATCCTCCCTCTCCAGGAAGTCCCTTAGAATTATTTTTGTTCGTAAAGATAAGTTGAAGTCACGTTTAAGATAATTTAAGACAATTTGGACTTAAGGAAAAATCATAACGTCTTAAGTTTTAGGATTTAATTATTACTAGGAAGAAATTATCCTATGGTAATTTGAATTTACCATGTAATTATTTGAGTAAGGAGAATTTACTCAAAAGGAGATAAAGATTGAGGATTTAATTTCAAAACATATTTTGGAGGAAGGAGAAATTTATAAGGTTAAGTGAAATTATATAAATAGAATCTTAACTTTTTTATTTAAGAGATTAAACTTATTTAAATATTTTTTTAAATTATATTAAACCCAAATATAGTTAATATTTAATTTTTTTTTGTTAAAGAATCTCGATTAATAGTAAATAAATTATACTAGAGGATTTTGACCCAAAAAAAAAATAACTAGAAGATTTAAAGTGTCTGAAAAAAATGGAGAGAAAGTAAAAACTATATATATATATAAATGATTTGAAAATAAAATGGGGGAAAAGATAAGGGGGAAAAGGAGAAAAGGCAAACTAAAAAAAAACAGAGAAATAAAACAAAAAGCAAAACAAATAACATAATAACCAAAGGGGGGCACGTGGCCCACCATTGGATAGCGAAACAAGGTTATTACATACATTTCCTTGTTTCACTCAACAAGGAATGGAATGCCAATTCATTTTTGGTGGAAGAATCATTGTGAGAGAGAGAGGTCACAGGAGAGAATGAACAAAAGGTGAAGAAAGATCTTAGGGAAGCCATATCAAATATTTCAAGAGTGGATTGAGGCTTTCTAAGACCAGGTAAGTGTCTCAAAATTTTTGTTCTAACTAAGATCACTAAATTTATGTTGATTTAAAGTTGGAGAGAGATTTAAAGGACTAGGAAGAGATGGTAAATGGTGACTCTAGGATTGTTTTGGGATGATAGAAAATTCTAGATAACTCTGAGTAACTCTAAGAATTGTAGACATTATTTTATCACCATCTAGAGAAATTTATAAATTAAAAGTAACTTTAGGAAGTGAATTATAACTAATTGGTAATTATTTTAATTATTTGAGAATGAAAATTTAGCATATTAGATGCTGAGGACTTATGAAACATGCTCAAGAGAACTCTAGAGTTAAAAGTAATGATCACCATAACTTAAAATTATTTTGGAAATTCGTTGGGATAAATTGAGAAGCTCCAATGTCAGAAAAACCTTCAATAGAATTAATACGAATTTTCTAGAGTTGTTTTAGAGTTACAGATAACTCCTGCGACTACTTTAGGATAGCCTTAGAGTAAGAAATAAATTTTATTTTAATTTCCCAATTTTCTATTTGCAAAGGGGTTAGGAGTTCCCTAAAAACTCCTTAATTTTTGCTTTGATATTTGAGCTAGTTGGAGGGCCTCTTACAAAGAGACCTCAAGTTCTTTGAGTGAACTTGAGCCCAAGTAATGTCGTTTTAGTTTATCTTATAAGTTAATATGGGTAAATAACTACAGCTTTTTGTATACTAATATCGAACTAAACTTAAATAGCATGCCTATAATAATGTTTTGCAAAAAAATCGACCTAATAGTTAACAAAGTAAATTTTTGAGAATTTTTTTGTGAAAATATGGAAAATCGCCAAAAAGTTTTATAACTACTTGTTTGGAATTTTTAGAACCAGATAGGCTCACATTGATCGTAATTTGACTGGTTGGAGCTTGATTGAGTTATTTGAATTAATATAATATATGAAGTTATTAGTCTGTAGAATGATAAATGTTGTAAATTTTAAGACATACTTGTGAAAATTGTAATTTGATTTAGAGCATATAGGAACCATGTTGTTATGAGGTGGCTACAGGCTATAGATTTAAACTAAGGAAATAAAGTTGGATCGTGATCACACACTTGCCCCTATGTGGCGAACACTAGGTCTCTTTGATCTATACCTGAGCTACTCCAATTCCTTTGACTAGGATCGGGACGAGCTTAGTACCATTTGGGCCACCCTTATGGTTGAAAATGGGAGGTCAAGACTTGATGAGAAGCGATGGGACCTTTAGCCAGGCACCATCTCCTATTTCCTAGAATCTTAACTTGGGAAAATAAGGAGAAGATAAGGAATAAAGAAAGGATAAAAATATGAAACTATTATTAAAAGGAATTTTTGATATATTATCTAGCTTGATATGTGAATCAATATAATCATAATTGTCATTTGAATGCTAAGTCTTGTTATGACATTTCCCTGAATTGTATGGTTTAAATTTTTAGTATGCTTGTACCTTTTTAATTCAATTATGAAGATGTGTTTATTCCTTTTCAAGCATGTTAGCTTCCCCAAATTATGATTTAAACTTTTCTAACATGCTTATTTGAAATATAATGTTATATATACATGTATATGTTTGGATATATGCCTGCTCCTTTCTCAAACATGTTAGCTCATGTTGTTATAATAACCCTTTAAAACATTTAGAGATTGATTGTATTATGTTGTGGATTGCTAATCGTCAAAACCCACTAGACCAAGTTATTCACCAACCTATTGTACATCGTGACCTTCCAAGAGGTTACTGAGACATTGCCTCCCCCTTGTTTTAAATGTTACAGGAATAGCTAGTGAAGCTCCAGCAAGAGAAAAGGCACAAGGATTACCAGCTCCTCGAGGAGTATGGTTCAAAGACCGACCCTGCTGCCACCTCATAGGAATAGCTGCATTTATTTTATTTTTTTTTGTTCATTTGAGATCTTTGTGTGTGTTTTGATTCGGGATAGATATCCTTTTATTCTTTGAGCCTTGGGTTGAGGGGAATTGACTGGACATCATGGGTTGTATTATTTTGTTTTCATTTATTTATTCATTATTAATTATTGTTATTTTCATGATATGAACGTGTGCCAGACTGTATGTTGTGAAATCTACATGTGTGCATGTGCTTGATATATGTATACCTTGGATAAAGAAACGTTTAGCCTTTACTATGATAGCTTTGAATGCTGCTTGAAAACATTTTTCCACTATAGTAGGGGCTCATGCTACTTAATTAAGCTTGCTTTCAATATCATGGTATAATTAAAACTAATCCTTTATCTACCATGATAGATTAGGATGTCCCATTCCTACCATGGTGGGTAAAGTCCTTTTCCACCATAATAGGGGACAATTAGGTGGATAAGGTTGTTTCAAGCAACATTGCCAATACAGAAGCTTTCATGCATTCATTGGATTATTAAATTATAGAAAATATATTAATTTGCAAGATACAATATTGACTTCCTTAAACCAGTTGATATCAATATTTGGGCATTTTTATTTTTATTTTAAAACAAGACCTCTTAGCATGATTTAGGATATTGAGTATTTTTCATCTATCTGTCAATTAAGATTCAAATAACTCCACAAAATAAATAGAGTAGTATCCAAATATAAAATGTACAAACATGATTATACCAAACAATATCACAACAGGGTGTAATCAAGAATATAAACAAACAGTTTAAGTTGTGTTTCCTACATCTCAGAAATATAGTTTGAAGAACAGCCAGACAAAGACCCATGTCAGCCCATATAGATAACCAGGAGTTTAACGTGAATGAGCTTAAGTTTTTGGCGTGTATGATTATGATAATTTCTACAAGTATGACTAAGGTTTCTGGCCAACATTCATTTAAAAAAAAAATCTGAAGAATTTTTTCAATATGCAATTCAAAACTAAAATGTATAATAAGGAATAGAAGTATTTCAAAGGCTTGACCACAGAAAAACCTTTTCACCCATGTTTCCCATTAATACAATATATCTGGAATTTTTATCACATGCAGAAATAATTTATGAAAATCCATTTCCAAAATAATCCCTACAACGAACAGCATATAAATGCAACATACCTCAGCATCATCATCAAAACTCAATTCATATACGCCTTCATCATTCAACCATAGATTGTATATTACAACTTTCGTTCCATGGGAACCAATATCATCAAACTGAAACATGTAAACAAGCTGATTAGTAAATGGAATCCACATCCCACTAACTTCTAGAAATTGAGAACAAGTGCCATCAATGGCTCCACCAAACCTCTTATTGCAAACATAAAATGGGGGTTTGCATGCTAGTATTTTGGGAGTGGTGCAACAGATTTTGGCTGTATATGATCATGAGAATTCATGCCAGCATAATAAAAAAGGCTATGAGATGCAGATAGGTCCAGGAAAGTAAGGTTCTTGCTGCCATAAAAGGCAAGCATGTAGTTAATTCTTGATTCTTGAAATCAACAAGCCTTGTGAGATGTGCATAAGCATGATTTTCATTACATTTAAACAGGGCATAAACCTCACAGCTACATGGTGAACAAGTGCACGTATCAGACAATTTATAATCTATTCAATAAAATATGACACATGGTGCTTCTCTAGCTAAAAGCTCACTGAAGACAAAGATCTGTTACTTGGAATTTTATTAATTATAATGCCTGCCATAAGCACCAAATAGTAAGCATCAATGGATATACAGTAGAATGAAATGAACCTGAAGCATTAGTTCCTCCTTTGAAGCAAATGGAGACCAATCAAGGATTGTTTTCAAATTGGCTGACCAATCTTCCTCTGAGCTATAAATAACTGGCTCTGCCCAGTGGCCAGATATGTCGAAATCTATCTACAAAGGAAATAAGGGTGAATATATACAAATATGGAAGTACAAAAGTTCACTTATATCTTTGAAAAGCAAATATTACCAGTGGAACAATAACGTGATCTTGCCCTGTTCTTCGCAGAAAGGTATAGGACAGTAGACCCACACTTTGTGTCTTCCTACTGAGAGAAAAAGCGTAAGATAATGAAGACATAATCTTATCAGTAAATTAAACTTAAAAACTGAATATTTTATTGGAGAGGATACAAAGCACCATAAAAGCACAGCAGCACTCAAAAAAGACATATAAACTGCAAAAACACATGCACAATGGTGAAACTTGCTCTGCTTTTATTTGTTTGCATGTGCATAAGCTGAAATCACCTCAGTAAGAGATGTATTTGCAGATGAAGCAGTGGCAAACTAGAAAGAAGATGAAGAAGAAGAGGAGTATCTATCATTTGAGAGGCTAGTCTCTCCACAAACCATTGAAACCTTCTCTCCCTTCCACTTATAATCCACACCTCTCGTAATCCTAACTGTTCTCTTGCATTCTCTCTCTTAACAAATAACATTCAAGGCATGAAACATAGAATAACAATAAAAGAGAGAGAAAATTTTTCAGAATGACTTCAAGAGATATATATTTGTTTTAAAAACATGAGGTGATTCAAAAGATATTGAGATATACCTTGATCGCATAGCACGACTAAAAACAATGACATCTGCACCTAGTCTCATAGTACTAGTCTTGAATCCATTGCCATCTAGAACCGCACAAGTGTTATTTTATTTAGAAAGATGCATTTCAGAAACCATCACATCTAATAACATTCACGACAATAACAAGAGGAAATTCTTGAAAAATTGACAGCTTAAAATAAAGGGGAAGGGGGTTCATTGGGAATAGACAATAAAATAAATGCATTAGGAAAATAACTTTGTACTGCAAAACATTACAATATAAATACATGTTTCTTATTAAATCATATGTGGTCAATGAGAAAAGCATATTAAAGTTAGTAACACTGTCCAATAGTTGTCTTGGACTTTCTTCCATGAATAAAAACATTCACAACAATAACAAGAGGAAATTCTTGAAAATTTGACAGCTTAAAATAAAGGGGGAGGGGGTTCATTGGGAATATACAATAAAATAAATGCATTAGGAAATTAACATCGTACTGCAAAACATTACAAGATAAATACATGTTTCTTATTAAATCATGTGTAGTCAATGAGAAAAGAATATTGAAGTTAGTCACATTGTCCAATAGTTGTCTTGGACTTCTTCGATGAATAACCCAAGCTCATGCATTTTCGTAATGATTCAGGATCCATCCCGCCACCATCATCTGCATGGGAAACAATCCCCCAGTATGTCTTCATTGCCACGTAAAACCAACAAACATCATAACAGATTAAACTATAAATGTTTAGATAGCATACCCAGGACAAGCAATGCTGGTGAATTATCCTTCATGATATCAAGCTTATCAATCTTTACAAAGGTTGCACCATTTTGAATCTGAATGTACACATAAAAGCAGTCACTAGTCATACTTTATCACAGCACAGTATATTGGCAGACCATCATTGACGGAGAGTTATAAGTAACGCAGGCAAGCAAGAAAATTTCCAGTCTTACAACCAAGAAACTTCCCTCAAAATCAGCTTATATCTCTCCCTAAAACCCATTTTAGACACCTAAAAGGAAGCAACAACTCTGAGAAGGCTGTGACCAACAGGCCAAGGGAATATTCCCAGGTTTCCAAAAAGGCAAAAGAGAAGGGAGACAAGAAGGGGGATTTGTGCTGCCAAACCAGCAGGGCAGTGTGATAGGAGCAGTTGGAGCGGACTTGCTCAGATCTCAACTCCAGTGGAAATGGGAGATCACTTTTTGGAAGTTATTGATGTGGAGAGGACAGGCCTCTAGAAAGCCAGCTTGCTGTTCTTACTTTTTTTATATGTTCTTGTTTAATTTCCTCAAAGGATCCTTCTTTACAGAGTTCTGGTGTAGTGCAAGAATGTATATCACAGGGAACTAACAGCAAATAGCATACAAAATTTCAGTTAAATGCCATGAAATGGGGAGAACAAATACTTCCATCTCCCAGGGTGTAGCAGCAATAAGTCAACACCACAAAAATATAGTTTAGTTATCAAAAAGGAATACCCCGTATTTCACTTGTCTGTTCTCACCTCTGGTTTCCCGCATACTATACTTCAGAAATTTACTCAGTTTCACAGTCTCCTTCAATTGATATTAGAGTTATGGTAAGTAAAGAAGCCTGTGGGCCACGTTTGCCCCATGAGGCTGACTCAAGTGATAAAAATGGGGTGAAGTATGAGGTAGCCACTAAGGTTCAAACCCTCTTAATATAACCGAAAGACCAAAAAAGGTCCAATGTTTAAATGCAACATCAGATAAACATGCAAGAATGTGAAGGATAGATATCAAGAAAAAACAAATCCAATGGAAGGATTCAGAATATTCAATACCTGATGACAGATATTTGATAGTCCATGTTGTAGATAAGCCTCAATCAAAATCCCACATAACGATAATTAAAAAAAAATGAAAGGCATGTAAACTTGTGGTAATTCTACCCAAGTAACTTAAACTATTTTAGTGAAATGGACAAGCTCAATTACAAACCCATAAAAAAATTAACATGGTATTAGAGCAAGGAACGAAAAAAGGCCTAACTGCCACAAAATCTAGAAATAAAAAAAAAATGTTGGACTTGAGATTTATGAGGTTCAGGAGGATGAGCCCAAGCAATGAGAAAAATAAATAAATATAGGTGGTGACCTAAAGCCTCAGACTCAGAGAACAGAAGTCCCTAAATAGAATTGAACCCCAATGATAATCGAAATCAGGAAAGTGGGGAAAAGAGACATGTCAAGTTGCATTTGAGGGGAGTGTTGGAGATAAGCCTTGATAAAAGTATCCAATATAAAAATGACTAGAAAATGAAGGACATATAAGCTTGTTGTAATCTTAACAAAGTAAATTAAGCTATTTTTGGAGAAATGAACAAGCCCAATTATAAATCCCATAAAAAAGTTAACAATCTATTGAGTAGCCATGAAGATAGCAAGTTTTAGGTGCTAGCACAGCCGCTGTATCTTTTATTTTTGGCTTGGTCATGTTGCACTGAGTAAAGATATCAATGCAAAAAAATGAAGTTCAGTTCAGGGAAGGCACCTAGGCAACAACCATGAATGAAGTTACATTTTTTTCATTGTGAATTTGTGATAAAGTAGTATTATCTGCTCAGGAAAGAATAAATGACTTTGACTTAAACCATACCTCATCAACAGCATTATCCATGAGCTCAGCAATTGCTGCCAAGAAAGAAAAGCACATATCAAAACAATCAGAAAAATGTAACCTTTTCAAGGACTGTCATAGGCAAAGAAGCATCCACATTCATACAAAATTTAAAGAACGCGGTCAAGTTCTCCAGATACTCTTCTTCCTCCTATCTGACAACAAGAACTTTAAAGCATATTAAGTGCTATGCTTAAAGAAATGCCACCTAGAAGCAACAAACGCAACCAGTAAATTATAACTAAATATAAGCAATTAGTCAGCCCAGTCGACAGTAGACGCACCGAGATTCTGAAAATGTTCACTAAATACTATATATTGTAACTAAGCATTTCTTCAAAGTAAAATTGACCATTCAACTTGAAGGTGGTTCGTGGAATCACCACGTCGCACCAAAAAAAAAAAAAAAAAAACAACCGTAGATATATGGGCAGCAAACATAAAAGTACCTAACCCACAATTTGTCCATCTAAAATTTTGTTGTGTCAAGCTAATTCGCGGATTAGTATTACTTGAAGGAGATGGTTTTCGAAAACAGAAACTTTGTAAGGATTTCTCGGTTATTCAACCGAAATAAGGCACATGACAAGCCAAAAATATACAAATACGGTTCAGGTAGCTAGATCATACCCCCAAAAGCCCACTTGTGAGAGGTTGCGTTAGAATGAAGAAACTTGGGATGGACACGAGCGTGCTCCAAGTAACCTTGAACAGGAGGTGGCTTCACAATTGGACCAACAACGTAGTCCCCAGCTTTCCAGAAGCTACGGGGCACGACATTGCCAGGCACCAAGGATACTGTGTTTGATTCAAGGTTGTTCTGTTGCTGAAACAGTGACAGTGGCCCCGCCTCTGACGGAGTTTTGTTGAAAGCCGCATTACTTGTTCCAGGCACCGCGCCATTCTCGTCGTCGCTGCTGTCAATAATAACGACTTGGGAATCGTTTTTCTCTATCTTAGGCGGCATGGAAGCAGTGATGCCGAGAACTCCGCCACTCAAGTCCTATCTTGCTCGATGACTAGGGTTTACAGTTTTTTGAAACTTCGTTGAAAATTTCGTGAAATTAGTTCGTCATCGTAATCAGAGTCACAAAATGCCGCAGCAGCGCCACTGACGGTTGGAACCAGCGAATAAATATCGGCGGGCCGAGCGAGCTGGAGGCAAGCGGGAAAGCAAACGGGAAACTGATCATTTGTTTCGTTAGAGAAAATGGAAGTGAAAAGTGAAATATAAAAAGGAATTAGAGCATGGCCGGATTGGTTTAATACAACAGAAGTTAGAAATCAACCGAGGCTCATAAATTAAAATTAAAAAAATTATAATTATAATATCATTTAGTTTGGATTTAAAAAAAATTAATTGAACAAATTAAAATTTACTTAAATGATTATATTCAAAAGTAAGTTGAGATGTATAATAATAAAAATAGATATAAGTTTTATTATATATATTTTTTTGATTAATTTGATATTTTTAGGAAAAAATATTAAACTTAAAATTATATTTTTAAAAAAAGTATATTACAAATATAAAATGCATTAATGAGTCAAAAATCTTAATTTTTTAAAAAAGGTGGAATTAAATAATAAAATTTAAAATATTCAAAAAAAACTAAAATAAATTTATAAATTATAAAATATTCAATTCATATTATCTGCAATTTGGTCTTAATTTGCAAACTTACAATCTAACCTTATTATATTTTCTCCCTCTATTTAATTTTTACATATAAGGTTATATTAAATGGAGTGTATTTTAATTAAATAATCAAACAAGATTTTAATTTTTTGTCTTCCTTTACTTTATCTTAAGTCATAAATAATAATTAAATATAACATAATAAATAAAACACACACGATCATCTTGTTCTTCCTCATATGCGTGCGCCACACATACACACTCAAAAATAAGCACATGGAGCACTTTCTTCTTCCTCCTCTTCTCTACAAAGCAGTGTCATCTCTCTTATACACTCTTTCCCTCCATCTTCTTTTTCTTCTCCCCACCACCAGCATCATCTCCCTCTCCCACCACCAGCACATTTGCCGTCTCCCTCTTTACCTCAACAAATGAAGGAAAGTAATAAAAAAGAGCATACGCGATGACTGATAGCAAGCAACATAGTCAATGAAAAAAAAGGGACTAGAGTGGATAGAATTAAGTTTGGTAAAATTCCAAATATTAGATGCACAAAATTACACTATGCTCTATGTGCTGAAATTATTAAAGCAATTAACTCAGCAATTTTATCAATATCCATTAAAAATGTGAGCTTGATAATACAGGAGATGTTAGTTAGAATGGTAATAGGATGGCCTTGTGGAAGTTGTTGAGAAAGTGACAACTAGCAATAATTACTTATATTTGGAATTTAAGAGGACATATGATAGAAAAGGGTTTATTCACTTGAAGAGCATGCTCATGTCAAGGGAGTATGATAAAATGTTTAAGTCATTATTTATACTTTTCACTTTTGGGACGTTATTGTAATGTCTTCATAGCAAGCTAAAACAACCTCATAAAATAATCACCATTAACAATTTAAATCTATGATAATTAAGGGATTACCCTTTATGGAGATTGCCAAGTTTAAATTTCAAATAAAGAGATCCTAAATTTTTATAATTCAAATGAGTTTAAACCATTCATAAATTTTTAAATCAGAGTAAAAACAAGTTATAAAAGTATGGGATGCCTCATAAGAGTGAAAGAAATTGAAAATAGTTGAAAAACAATATGTTTGCTGCAAAACAAGACAATGCATCACAGCTTGTGTACTCTACATCGTGGCATGTTGCTCACTGTGCCACACATCGTAACATGTTGTAAGTTTTTGACAACAGATTCTGCTATCATTTGATAGTAGAATTGGGCAACTTTTAGTGTGCCCCAAATTTTTGTTAGACATTCAAATGACATGATTTAAATGTCTACAAAAGGCTCTTTTCATAAACTAGCTAATGACATAGGTTTTACTTCCAAAACAACTCACACCAAGGAGTTGGACACACAAACCGATTTTTACCACTTTTCTCAACTTTTCACATCAAAAAGTGTCAAAAACTTAAAACAAATGCCAATTGCCATTCCAAACACCCAAATCATATTCAAAGGACTCAGGACAACATGTCACATGCACATAATTACTAGTATAACACAAAATCACTCATCAACCCCTTTAATACTAAAAACAGAAAGGAAGGTGAATCCATTTCATTGTATCAAAAGTCAATCATCTCGTCTTTAAAATATTATTTATACACCTGCACTAGTATTTTGACCCTATAAACATTTATAATTATTCATAGTCACCCTCAGGGCCCAAAATATGTTCTAGACAACAACAACTTAATAGTGCAAGTGTAAACTAAAAATGCATCCTATAATTGGCAATGAAATTCTATTATACAAAATAACAATGCGTAAAGGCATACATTAGGAATGTATGGATTCTTAAACCTCAGGAACTTTATCACTCTTAGCACCAGAACTATAGCTTATAAAATGTTAAATGGAAGGAATGAGTCTAGTCACTCAGTAATCAAGGTAAAACCTACCCTATACAGTTATATATCAATTGAAATAAACACAAGAGCATGAGAAGTAGCTTTTCTTGAAAAACATGCATTAACACATTGTTTTGCTTATTTCACAGCTCATCACTACTCAATTAATCTACTTCCTTTTTAATCACATGGTACATAGCTATAAGACACTCAGATATGTGACTATGACCTAATATCGACACGATTTGCCACAACTCAATCATGTGACACGTCATATAATTTCATAAGCAATGATCAACCAATTTTATATCTTCCTTATTTTCTTCAACTGAAACTGTGGGCTATAACACTAAATAGGACTTCGTCCGTGTGACTAGACTACTTAAGCTTACCAATTGTAAAGTATAACCCAACCAAAGATCACATGACTCACTCTCGAATCATAGTTTTCCCTACACTCAAATCTCTGAGGTGTCATTTACCTTAAGCTATTATCCTCGATAAATTGATGGAGAAAGATATGTTCTAATTCATCGATAAAATATAGGACAATCTCTTGACAAATTGTGGGACAAGACTATATCCCTATGCACAGGAGGGCAGCCTAAATACCATATGAATTTTTTTCTACTCCTAATCCTTAAGTGAACTTCTACCCATTGATCATGCCATGCATGATACTTACTCATTTTCACAATCTCATTTATTCATTATCGAAATCAACACATTAGGCTCACAACCGTGTACTGCCTGAGTAAGCATCGAGTCTTATTTCATATAAACACATATATTCTTATTTTCAATCATAGCACATTCATCATTATCATTCTCAACCTTTATCAACATCAATTAACCATCAACATAGAACTCAAAATTCTTTTTGAAATCTCTTTGCATCTATAGTTCAAACTGAGGCACTTACATAAACGCATTGATTCATAACATGTTATAGACATTCATAAAACACAATTGTCATTCCAAACACTTACATGACAATGTAATTAACATATAACTACCAAAAATAAGTTTCTCTCAATTACCTCAAACCTTTGAGAAGTTAAAAGTTTACTCCTCAATATTATAGTTTCCAAGCTTGAATTCTCAAGCCAAATTGGTATTTAAGAGCTTAATCTACAATTTAATAAGTTAACCTTTCATTAACAATGTCAAGAGCACACTATCAACTCATACTTTTACTTTTCAACTTTCATAACAACATCAATTTTCACCTTTAAGCTTACCCATTAAGTTTATTAACTTCTTTAATTCCCAATAACATTCATAAGCTAATAAACTCCCATTGATGACATTACCGCTCTTCTAACAACCCTCATAAATGTTAAATTTATATATTAATAGGTCCAACAATTAAAAATCCCAAAACTCATTATTTCTAGGTTTAGATACTCAATTATACTCCTATTAACTCCATATGAGTCAATGGATTCAAACATATAATCTATATAGATTAAAAATCATCTTCCATTATCAAACTCTAATCATAAACTTCATAAATGTGGAAGAGATAGGAAGAAATAAGTGTAAGGCACTTACCTTTGATGTTTCATAGCCCCAAAATACTCCTAATATCATCAAGGAACAAACCCCAGTAGAGCTCCTTGTAATTCTTCATTTCCTCTTCCTTATTCTCTATTTTTTTACTTCAGTTCACGACTCTTAATCTATAGAAAATGGCCATGTGCCATGGTGGACACTAAACATGCTAAGGTGCATGACATAAAGAGGTCCCCTTCTTACATCAATTGTATTTGTGAGTCATGACGAATACACTCCATGCTGCGGCGTGTGGCACAGATATACTCTTTCCTTGTTTTCTCCTCTTTTCAATGCCTAGGTGGCCTAACTTCTCACTAGACCCACAATTAAGGTTGAAACACAATCAAAACTAGTCATTAGACCTTCCTAGTCATACACCACATCAATTTACTTTATTATCATAATTAACTTTAGTTAATCAGGGGATTAAAGTTCAGAATATTACAGTTGTTGTGTCCTCCTGCATGAGGAATTGTCACACAATGGCTATTGAAGATTATATGTTATGATAAAAACACATTAAGTTCAAACAATTGGTCCAATCTTATAATGAAAGATGTTGGAGTTTATCATGATACTTTAAAAAGAGGGAAATATTTTAGTAAATGCCTTTATTTTTTTATGGTAAGAATATAAGCATGTGTATTTTAATTTAAACTTTGTCTTGATTTAGTTGGTTAGTCATGTTAACTCATATATATTCATGTGGATATTGTTATTTTTTTTATGGTAAATGCCACCATCGTCAGATAAGCCACTTATGTATTAGGATAATGATAAAGTAAACGAGATAGTTCAGTGTAAGGGCCTTTGTGTTCTCTTGTTGGTACAAATCCAAATGTGAAAGTCCATGTGGTTCATCTAATAATACCTCAAGTCATAGTATTTGATACTCCAATGAGTAGAGGAATTTATTCATATGTAATGGGAATACTTGGTCATAGTCTTGCCTTCTCCTTCTCGACTTTGCCTCTTCAAAAACCTAAGGCCTCCCCCACTCCACGATTCCATTTAGGTTAACCTACCTTCTACAATCAATTTGTTATTGTTTTTTTTGTTTTTGTTGTGCTTTTAATTTGAGTTAGCATTCAAGTTGTCAATATAATTCAACTATCTTTTGCATGAGTACATTTAACAGAATG